GGATGTGGTGGAACCAAATTGCAGTTTTCTAATTGAGAATGTATTCTTGGTCTGTAAGAACAGAGTTCTGGAGTAGAGTTGTTGCAGGCTCCCTTTTTAGTAGACACCTCCTGTCTGCTGCTGGAACACATCAATTGTATTTTCGTCCTCCATTTCCAACTGTGCAGGTGTGTGTGTTTCATTGATTGGCTGTCCATCAATTTGGAATCTGATCTGCCTCATTGACAAACCCTGTCATTCACAATAGGCTTTCATTAATTTACTAAGTGGTGTATGCCTCTTACTCATAAACTGCACCACAGAACCATCCTGTCCCACCACCTTCAAATTAATATGATCGTTGTTCTCAGTCTTGACTCCTTCCTTGGGCTTTTCATCGGCCATAGTGAGCGCCCCAGTCTTCTCAGCTGCCGCTTCACAAAAGAGGTACCAGGTCTGCACTGAACGAGCACACTAGCAGCTCCAGGAGCAGCAGAAGGAGGCAGCAGCGGTGGCCGAGGGAGAGGGCACGTGCACCTGTGATAGTTAAGTTTGATCATCAGTTTGATTGACTTGAGAGTTATTTCCGAGATCAGTACAGCACAATTCTGGGTGTATCTCTTCCGTGCATAGAGACTTAACTCTGGATGCTGTGTCTTGTTTCTGGCCCCTTCCTCTCTGGAGCTGCATTGTCCCCCTGCTCTGCTTTCCAGTCAGCATGAACTAAGCAGCTTTGCTTTGCCACCATAACTTTTCTGCTTTGAAGCCAGCTGATGGTGGACTAAATCCTCTGAAACTATGAGACTAATAAACCTCTCATTAAATTGTGTATGTTGGATATTTAGCCCCAGTGATAAAAAGCTAATAAAATCACACACTGTTCTTCAACCAGTTAAATTCTATTGATTAATGAGACTGATTAATACACACCTGTCAACATGAATCTAGACAGGACCGTGTCTGCTGATTAGCTGCTGGATTTCCAGCACTTATCAGGTGGGAGCTCAGCAATAACGTATTTAATGAACTACCGAATGAGCTTTGTTAGGTATTTTAACAAAATGCACATATTTGCAAAATGAATCCATATAAATTATTCATGAAATGAGAACTAACACATCAAAGAATAAAGATGGGACAATTCAAGACATGAAAACACTAAATAGTCAATATTATAGAGCCAATTTCCAGGCTAACAAAATTTGTGAAAAGTGAAGATTTGAAGAAACAATACCTCAAATGCTAAGGGCCTGAGAGAGTTAAACTGGGAAATACTGCTTTTTGGCATATATTTTTGTAGATATATACATGTAGTCCTAGGAATAATCTAGGAATGGTAAGATAATGAGTTTATCTCTCTAATATTATAATTTAAATCTGTTGATTATGAAGTTCCATGTGTAACTACTGGAAATTAGTGACATGGAAACAGGAAAATATTCCTATTCTGACTTATTTAATTATAAATGTGAGAAAAGATGTGTCTTAGTTTTTAATCTAGAATGTGGCTTAGATTCTGGCTGTGTCAACCAGGAAATAATTCAACCACCTTCTCAGCTTGTAGATGAAGCAGTATAGTTTCTTCACTTTAATTACTTGGCCATCTTCCATATGTGTCTTTCTGTTGCATCTTTTTTGCTTTTTAAATAAGGACAACAGTTATATTGGATTAAGGATCCACCCTAGTCCAAGATGGATTCAATTTAACTAATTACATCTACAGCTACTGTACTTTAAGTAATATTCTGCAGTTTCAAAAATGACATGAATTTAGGCAACAGTATTTACCCCAGTAAAACAGGTGTGAAGTGGCAGCTTTCTGGACATGTCTTTTGGCAGTAAGAATAGACACATTTTAGGATTACACTAAGGAATAAATGGAGAAACTGAGAAAGACTGAAAATACAACTTTAATAAACTTTTTACAATTTGCCTGTTTGTAGTATTTTATTTAAATTTCAAATTGAAATAGGTGAAAAGAGAGTCATTTCATTTTTTCCTCCCTTATTTTTTATTCAGAATTATATAGTTCACTGGGCATGGTGGTGTACGCCTGTAATCTCAGCACTTTGGAGGCTGAGCAGAAGAATGGGGCCTGCAGTAATTTCAAGCCAGTCTGAACTACATAGGGAGACTCTGTCTCAAAAAAATTGCGTAGTTCAACTCTAAAACAAAAATTATTTCCTGTAACTATGGGAGATTCTGCTTATATCCTATCATCTAGCACTTTAACTCCAAATTGCATCCATTTCCTCTTCACTTACAGTTTGAAAGCAGAGTCATCTTAAGACTATGTTTAGAAACACTTTCTCTCTTTAGGAAGCCTATATCCTGTCATTTTTTAGCAAGTATTTGTTGAATGATAGGTACAATGACAGAAGATAATTACTGAATTATGAAAAAGGCACATAGGCAGCCTCCCTCTTGTAACAAATGAACAATTAAGCAAATGCATGGGTAGTGATAAAATTAAAGCATGCCACCATCACGTGTGGCACAAAATAGGCTCTGTTATTACAGAATGTCAAGAAGGAGTGGGAGACATGGACATTGAGAAGCTCAGATAGCATTTGGAATTGACACACAAAGTCAGTATTGAAGCCTAAAGAATCAATGAAATCACTCAGGGAGAGACTTAAAAAACATACGTACAAGAAAGCTGATTCAGAATTCAAATTTATAAATTGATCAAAGTAGAGTTGGTCTTATGGAAGGATAGTAGAGGTGAGAGGTGAGGACATTACACTTCAGATACTCCATGGTCCCACAGTGATAAAACTATCTAGGGATACAATTTATAAAATTCATGGTGATGGGGGAAAAACAGAGAATAAAGCAGACCTTAGCTCACAGCATCCATGTGGTCTATTATCTCTGACCTTCACATTCTCATTAATAGTAATTTATAATCTCTGATCTTTTTAATTCTACTACTGAGTTACATAGGTCATTCTCAGCAGGTACAACGGGTGCCAGTGTTCTTGGGCTCTACATAAATAAAAATGTTTTCTTCCCTAATAGAACAAGTTATGATTAGCACAGAAGTTTAAGATGATTTTACAGGCAAAGTAAAGTAATTCAAATATGGGCATCTTCACATTTCTTTGATTTCTGAGTTGCTTTCTGTTCTACATTAAAGTCAGAGAAAATGTTGTCTTATCGGATTTTTTTTGTTTTTGCTACCAGGGATTGAACTCAGGACCTTACGCTTGCGAGGCAGGTGGTGGAACCACTAAGCTAAATCTCTGGCCCTCAAAAATGTTCTCTTATGAAAACACAGTCTCAAGAATTTCTGTGTGTAGAGCTCTTTTCCTTCCTCTCTCTTTTTTCTACCCTCTTCAGCATTTTCGTACAATTACACATGGCCTGTGTAGCCAAACCACTTTTAAAATCTAAGTTCAAGAAATCAATTTTCAAAAATTCTTAGTTACCCTCTACTGAACTTTTCTGCAGAAATCTAGGTTCTGTCTTTCCTTTCTGAGCCCCTTTCCCAGTAGGCGTTTTTTCTTCTGCAGTGGCAACCCTTCTGTGTAGAGCAGCGTTTTACTTTCAAATTAGCTTTCCTGAACAGCATGCTCTTTTATAAACAGGGTAAAGTACTGGAAGGAAGATGTTTAAAGTGACAACCATTTGAAGAAGAAAATTGAAGTAAATTTTACTTGATTCATTGTTATTTCCTATATTTTGGGAAACTATCCTCTCTTTTCTGTCTTTATTAAACTGTATGTTTATTACCCAACTAACCTCTTTGTTATATGATGGTGAATCAATAACTTGATTTTATTCAAGCTTCTTTCTGCATCTAAAATGCTCTTCTACCTATCATTACTCTTTAGAACTGGAAAAGTCTTACTTATTCTCAAACTTTATCCCCTTCACTCCCTTTATAGAAGATGTCCTTTATAGAAGTTGTCTAGTGGTCTAGATAATGATCCTCACTGCTTCCATAGTACTCTTGTAATAGGGACAATATCATAAAAGTTAGCTGTGAAGAGTTCTGGGTATTGTGTTGTCTTGTATAAACTACTATGTCTTTTAAGTATCAATCTATTTCATTGAGGCACAGAAAGATCGTCTAAGTTTAACACATGTACATTTGCCTCAGATGGTATAATATAAAATATATTTCTTGAATGAAAAAATATTTAGTACATTTAAAAACATCCCCTAGAGAAAACAAAGCTTCAATCAAACGGTTATTGATTTTCAGTATCATTTGAAGCTGTTAGGCATAATGTTGAGATTAACAGAGACCTGTTTTCGGTGATCATTATACCAAGTACTATACCAGTCTAATTCAATAGGATGACCTGTTCTAGTGAAGCAGATAATTAGAACTGTGACTTTCAGCAACAGATACCTCATGAATATGCTAATGCAGCATGGCAAGATAAAGAAAGCTCTGGACCCGCACTAGGTGGACTCGAACCCTAGTTGTGCGACATTATAGCTGTGTAATTTGGTGAAACTCTTTAACAGTTTTTCATTTTATTTTATAAAGTAGGGATAATTTAGAAATACATAAATTAAATAATAAAACAATTTTGTGAGGATCAATTGAGTTAATGTAAGTGCAGTTCTAACATCAGCCCAAAGAGTATAAGCACAGAGAAGTCGTTTGCAATTATTACTGCTGCTGAGCATTTTGCTAAGTACAGAGGATTCTGTGGTGTACCTTTGGGAAGACAGGAATTGAGCAGGTAAACAGACAAGAACACATATTTCCAAACTATACCCAAGCTGGAAGAAAGTAAACAAGGTGTCTTGAGCCATATAATAGGAAAGACAAGGGTAAGAAATAAATAGTAAAAAAGGACGATTCTAGTTCAGGAACATATTTTGTTTTCTAAAGAATGGGTTGTTTTCTCTGTGTGGTATATGTTTAAAAATAAATAATTAAAACTCCATACATTTTAGCAATTTTCATTCTTATGACAACCTTGCATAATGTTCTTTTTAATGATATATAAATGATATGTACAGCTGCTCAGAAAGACTAACCACCTTGTCTATTCTTATAGCCTATCAACTAAGAGTGTGCCAGCCCCCACCACGAGTTGCCAATGCTGAAATTTTGACAGAAGATGATGAATTTGAAATAGGTAAAGTGTTAAATTACTCTCAAAGAAAACTATACTGCTAGCAGAGCGACTTTCTTAAAAAGAAACTCGAATAAGGAGTGGCAGCCTCTTTTTAGTCACCTTTTCCTGGATTGATAAAGGTGATTTCTAATGCTCAGAAACACCGAATAAAAAGAGGAAAGGAAATATTCACAGGAAGTAAGTGCTCTGTTTTTCCAGTGTGTATTTTAGAAACTAGTGTTGGAATTTGATCCATATAACTAAATTCTGAAGGCTGTACCCAAATTGTTTGCTCTAATTTGAGTTCTATTTATGTTCTGTGTGTTCAGCCTAAAGCCTAACCCCACAGAATAATGACAGGTGGGGTATATTAGAAGACATATTTTATATATCTATATTTTGGAAAATGTTTGGATAATTAAGCTAAATTTGATAATAAAATCCCTTTAAATTGAGTTGGAAATTCAATCCGGATAATGCTTCACTGTTTGGAAAAACGGCAGAAGACAATATGACATTTTCATAAACTTGTATCATTATTATTTATTATCTTGATTTGGGTTATTACTTGTAAAACAACTATCAGTGACCAATGTAAGGCTAATTGTAAAATGAATTCAATGAATTGGAAGCCTTCCAGCTACTTGATATATTTTAAATGAATATTATACCTGCACCAGCCAAATTATTTCTTTACAGCTAGTGCATATATACAGTCAGTATCCACCAGTATGGATATGTCAATAGCTTCCTGCTGCCTTTGATTCTGATTGATCCATGCCAATTAAGCACTGATTGCTCAGTATTTTGGATGCCACCCTGCTTATAAGCAATGAAATTTTTATAGTGATAGAAGCTGACTAAATGAAAATATATTCTGCTCTTACAATTGAAATATCTATACTTTTTTACTATTGGTCTGTTGTTTATTGGAATCTTCCCCTCCCATCTTTCTTTGACAGGTGATATTATTAGATATCAGTGCCTTCCAGGATTCACCCTGGTGGGAAATGCAATCCTGACCTGCAGGTTAGGAGAGAGACTGCAGATGGATGAAGCACCTCCAGTTTGTCAAGGTAACAATTTTTATGGCTACATATTTATTAAATATTTATGTTTAAGTCAGTAACAGCAAGATTGAAAAAATAATCCATTTCATGTCAATATTAAATATTTAGCTGGCGATGGTGTTATGAAGTGTGTAACTCATGTGGTATTTTTCATTCCAGCATTTCTCAGATTTAGCTTTCAACATCCTTGATTCTTCCAAAGTTTAACTTGTCTAATGTAATTCAGAGTCAGTTCAACTTGTTTACATTATGTTTTCTGTGGGGATGGAGAAAAACACAAACGACTTCAAATAAAGCTCCAATGTTAATTGTTTTTATCTTTATTGTAAGCACTATGTCTTTAAACTTTATTTAGGCTACCTGGTAAGTAGGAGGAGCTGATGAAACACAAACCACAAGTTCTACGTGGCCCTTGCTGGGAATGAATGCATCACAGCATAAGAGATGTGCTGTCCTCCATAAAAAGGCAGCGCAATGTTTAGTAAACAGACAAGAAGATAATCTCTACCTAAGAGAAGGTCAGAGAAAGCTTGAACTACAAATGAACAGTGAAGTTTACTCTGGCAGAACAGGGTTAGTGAGAGGGAAGTCTAAATGGCTGATGCAGATGCAAGTACACAGGTGAAAGCGAAGCATGGACTTGAAGGATTTCATTGCTACCAGTGTGAGATGATGAGGGACCTTGAGTGACCGGGAGAATTATAATGCTGGGCAATTGTATACTGATGATTTGTAGCCCAGAGCAGTGCATAGCACACAGCAACAATCGTGACTATTGTTTAATTTAGGTAAAATTGAACTATACTAGATTATCTTTGCTCTTATTTTCTTGGATTACTTCCTTTTTTAAGATTTATTTCTAAGCATATGGACTCTATTTCTTTTTGTTTGTTTGTTTTATCATTTTTTATTAAATTGTACTTTTAGCTTTATACACTTTCAACTTACATTTCAAAAATTTGGATTTTTATTTTTTTTTCCCCATTAAGTTTATTGGTACATTTTAGGTATACAATACAGTTACATTCATCATTGGGATCTTGTACCTTTACGTGATGTATCT